GGGGGGGCGTCCATACAAAAAATATTACAAAGAATATAAAAAGGAAGGAAACTAAGTCTACTACTATATGTACATTATCAAAAGCTACTGTAATCCACGATGGTGTGACCCAGATAAAGATACGATTAACTTCATCATGCAGACTCGGTTATTAACATAAAAAAAATTTTTTTATTCAACTTTTAAATATATAAATTGATTGAGCTTGCTTAGCTTCAAGCGGAAGGTTATTCCAAAGATAATTAAGCACCGCTATATTTAAAGTTTCGTTTGAGAAATTCTATGTTTGGCTTTGGAAGGGTCAGATCAGTTTGAGAATTTCTAAGATTATAATTGTTTAGTAAAATATTCCTACTTATGAATGAATCTTTCAGAGTTGGTGGAGCACTCTTACTCAAGACTTTATATAAGAATGTTGCTTTGGTTAAGTACCATCTTGTTTCCAAATTTTCCCAGTCAAGAGTTCGAAGAACGTCAGCTGATCTGATCTCATAACTGGCACCAGCTAAAGTTATTCTGTCGGCCCGATTTTGGAACTTTTGTAAATTATCTCTTAGCGTTTTGTTACAAACCCCCCAAAAGGGAGAGCAGTAATCGAAGTAAGGCTGTATCAGAGCATTATAAATTGATATCAATGTGTTTTCAGGAACACAGGGCTTGATACGCTTTAAAATTCCTATGCCCGCTCCGACTTGAATCGTCAGCATATAAGCATGGGGCTGACTTCTCAAGACAATCAGGTAAATCATTAATATACAATAAGAACAATAAGGGGCCCAATATAGATCCTTGAGGGACCCCACTAACAATCCTTTTTGGTGCTGACATTGCGCCATTAACAAATGGCACTTGTTTCCTCTCAGAAAGATAGGATTCAAACAGTTTTAATTCAATATTTGAAATCCCAAATTGCACTTTCATTTTGCGCAAAAGAATATTACGATTAATAGAGTCAAAAGCTTTTCGAATATCAATAAAAACTACACCATTTAAGTCAACATTATCCATATTCTCATACCATGCATCGCACATCTGAATGAGTGCTGCCAGAGTAGAATATTTTGGGTGAAACCCAAATTGATGTTTAGGAAGTAGATTATTAGCGTAAAGAAATTCATACAATTGATTGAAAACGGATCTTTCGAAAATTTTACTAATAATCGGTAAGATGAGTGACTTAAGACTTGAGATGACTTAATTTGATTGACGTTTAAAGGGGCAGTATGATCAAAATTGTTATTCTCTTAAACCAACGCTTAAACGAAAATGCTCGTAAAACTGTATAATAACTTGTTTTGAAGATTTCTGTTCCCATGCTTAGTTCTTGAGATATTTCTTTTGTTTGTAACCATGTGACGTAATCTGCTCAATTACATATATAATGAGATATCAGTAATTGTTGTGTATCTTTGCTATTTTTGATCGATTTGTTAAAAAACACAGTATGCTTAATGATACAGGTTAAATTAACAAACGCGCTGCATCTTTCGAAATATTTTGATAAAAATAGCAAAGATACACAACAATTACTGATATCTCATTATATATGTAATTGAGTAGATGACGTCACGTGGTTACAAACAAAATGAAATATCTCAAGAACTAAGCATGGGAACAAAAATCTTCAATACAAGTTATTATACAGTTTTACGAGCACTTTCGTTTAAGAAAATGAAAATTTTGATCATACTGCCCCTTTAAGAAATATAATAGTTTTGTTTTTTGAGACCGCACGTTAGGGACCATTCATTATTTGTGACTGGGGGTGGGCTGGTAAAAAAAGGGGTGAGTCAGGAGGTATTTTTGACTGAAAAAAAAGGGGGGGGGGTACCTAAAAATATTGGTTCAGAAGGGGGGTTCAGTTATTTATTACAGTGGTATTATGGTGGAGAAAAATTTGACATGTAACGATTATTGCTACCACAGGGAGCGAACAAGGCAGCAGATTTAATTCATGTATAGCTAGAAAAATTCTCACTTTTAATCAGCAGATAGACCCAAAATGCAATGCGCAAATACCCAAAATGCAACGCGCGCAGCTAATATGAAAAATAATCGAACATCTACTTTTATAACTTTTTCCATGAACTTGCCATTAATCTTTGTCATATTCCAATTACGTACATTTTAATAAAAAAATATAATTAACGAGTAAGTGATGTAGCAACATTGGCAAATACTATGTACACTAGTTTGTACTAGGTAGTTTATACATGGTTTAATTTAGTAAGGAGTGTGTTGGTTTACCGTGTCAAGTCCGAGTCAATCCGAGCCTGAGTCAAATGTCCGAGTCACTAGCTGTTTGGCGGTCTTTGTAGTTCATTGACGTAGTACCCCAACCAACTCCTAATCCAGGGCCGTAGCAACCGGAGGGCTGCAGCCGCCCCCCCCCCATAATTTGCTAATCATTCTTTTTTCAAAATCATCCAGACCTTTATCATTTAAATAATATACCTTTAAAATACTGACAATTGATTAATTTTAAGCGGCTACATTAACCATGACAAACTTCAAAGAATTATGAAGATATTTCTCATAGTTTCGTGCAACTTACCCAATATATAATTAATTAAATACGCCTTCGCCCATTTAGTGCTACTAAATTGTAAATTTCGACATACTAAAATGTTGTTTTCTGACCATCAGAATTCTGTTAATTCTTCCCCAAAGTCCAGGAAATGGCATTTCAGAGACTCTAAATTTAAAACCCCTTGGGCCTTTGACCCTCACTTTCAGCACCCCAATCAAGAAGAGCTTCCTACAGCACTGTAACTCTAACCCTATTCCTAACCCTATACTCCTAACCGATTTCACTCGTCAACGGGGAAGCTCTGCTAGGCATGTCCCGATTGTGCTCGGCAACTTTTGAGCAACTTTTTGCGTTTGGAGCAACTTTTTTCGGCTCGAGCAACTTCAAGTAACGTTTTCCTTTTTGAGCAACTTTTTACTACACTCTTAGTAGCGAAAAATGGTATGGCACAATGTCTCTAGTTAACCCATTGCGCCCCAGTACTTATTCTTTTACTTGTTTAACACCAGACGATTTTACTTGTCAACAGAAAACTCTGCAGCTTAAATTAATGGGGTTAAATAGGAATGCATATTGATTGTTGAAAGAACAAGTAAATGAAAGAGCTGATGCTTTTTACCGAACAAGTTAAACAGCGCATTTCTATACAGTACTTTACATTTATTATATTGTTGGTGGTGGTGGTGGATGGGGGGAGGGTTATTATTTTTTAGAATTTATGTGAAGGGGATCATTGAATTTTTTTGCGATGCAGGGGGTGGGGCAGGACATTTTGTTTAGTTGTTAGTTGAATTTTGCCAGCCCACCCCCCCAGTCATAAATAATGAATGGTCCCTTAGAAGGACGCAAAATATGACAGATCTGTAGATCGAGTCTGTTTAACTGTTTGTATTGAAATACTGATTGCTAACCTGTTTTGAAGAGAAGATTGAGGACATTGAGAACTGCTAACCTGATTTAGGCTATATTAATTGTATGACTGGATATTGCCACAGAAGTAAGTAATATGTACGTACGCAGTATATGCTGATTATTGCAATATATTCCTAATACAAGCCAGATATTATTCTCATTTAAGACATTGGTTACATACATACATACATACATAAATAATACTTTATTTTGACACGCTAGCCTCATCAACATCAGCTGTTATTCATGATGGGCGTGTTAACTAACTAATTACACAAATTACAAAATTATATAAACGAAACGAATAAATATTATTGAGGACATGCAGGTCAGCTTCACCTCGCCGTAGATTTTATAATTCTCTTGATTGAATAAACGAAATCGACATCATATATTCTTTGTTTAATTTAGTTCGAATTGTTTGATTATTTCATAATAATAATACCATACCAATATTCAGTCCCTGGTGTATTTTATCGACCCCGCGAACCAGTGTGATTCAACATTTTTTAATATTATTTCTCAAAAAATCATTTTAAAGTTATTTAGTAACTGTCTACAGGGTGTATAGAGCGTTTGCACTCACGTGACTAATTTCGAACGTCGTCATGACAACCCATGTTAGCTGCCATGTTGGTGTTCCATCGTAATAGAGTATATAGTGTTTGTATTGTGAAATCGGCAACTGGGGCATATTTTACACTTTTTAAATCTCTAATAACCAAAATTACACTCTTTTAGATCATGGTACTTTGCCTCATTGTCGGTTGTGGGAATAAAACGGGAAAAGAGCAGCGAAGTGCTGAAAAAATAAGTTTTTTCGCGTTCCACGCGTAGTTGTCCACCAAGGAGAATACACAGAAGAAATGACCGCCGAGCGTAGAAGTGAATGGATTTCCGGGATAAGTCGAGACGACTTTAAAGGACATTGGCAATAAAAAATTTTATTGCTTTATCTGAAAGAATATGAAAAAATAAGCCGATTGGCCATTTACTGCTCTATTCTATCTCATCTGGTTCCGAAGTTATGCGCAAAAATGTGCAAAATATAAATTGCTGATTCAGCACAACGTGTGACGTCATTGGTTGGGTAAGTATGTTTATTGAATAGTAAACTGAAGCATAGCTCAGTTATTGTTGGCTCAAATCAAATGAAATTTTGCATACAGATAGTACATGATAAGACGCATGGGAAAATACTTCTAATTTTGTTGTCAAGGCAACACAGTTGTTCCCAGGCCCCTTACACTGATTTTGAATAACTAGTTGCATTTATCTATGTGTATGTTATTTTCGAATTATTATCATGCAAGTAAACTTTTGGCATGCATAGGTATGGTACACATACTTCTGATATTATTTTATTCTTATAAATAAATCCCATGAATAAAGCTGTTTTATAAAATTGGCGCAAGGGGCCTGGGAACGACATTGTTACCTTGGCAACAAAATTAGAAGTGTTTTTCAATGCGTCTCATCATGTACAATCAGTATGCAAAATTTCATTTGATTTGGGCCCATAATAACTGAGCTATGCTTCAGTTTAGTATTCATTAAACATACTTACCCAACCAATGACGTCACACGTTGTGCTGAACCAGCAACTTATATTTTGGACATTTTTGCGTATAACTTCGGAACTAGATGAGATAGAATAGAGCATTAAACTGCCAATCGGCTTATTTTTTCATGCTCTTTCAGATGAAGCAATAAAAATTTTGTTGCCAATACCTTTAACCGACATAACCGACTCTATTTTGGCAACTGAGCGAGTTTGTAGCAAGCATTTCATGTCAGGACAAGCTGCTAACGATTGGGATCGATACAACGTGGACTGGGTGCTTACATTGTGTTTAGGGCATTCTAAGCAACAGTTAACTGGCCCGGAAGTGTCTGCTGCTCGAGCTCAAAGGGCCACAGAAATGCGTAAACGTCGCACAGAAACAATGGAATTTTATGTGAATGCGCAAGCACAAAAATTTGACGAGCTAGGGGAAACAGGCGAGGAAAATATTTTTACTGAAGAGGCTTTAAATCCTATCAACACTGTTTACCTTGGCATTCCTGATAAAGAAACTGATGATTAAGTATCAACAGGTATGGAAACTATGGGTGGACATGATGTCTTGCTCGATCTGAGGCAACGGCAGATCCTGAAACCCAGACTGTAAATGAAGGTATCGAGAGCCAAGCCTAAACTGAAGAATTTGATTACCTCTTCAAGGAGACATAGACAGGAGGATAGGGTGAGATTTTATACTGGCTTACCTGGGTTTGATGTATTAAAAGTAGCATTTGGTTTTGTGAGTCCTTACATTACTGGAAGAAGTAAAACACTATCTCTATTTCAAGAGTTCATAATGGTTTTAAGCTGAATGTCCCTTTTCAAGACCTCGCCTTCGGATTTGGTGTGTCTCTTTCAACAGTATCGAGAACATTTTCTGAATGGATGATGGTTAGATATATCCGGTTATCCCTCTTGTCCGATGGCCAGAAAGAGAGGAGTTGTGGCATACAATGTCCATATGTGCTTTCAGTATGCATTTGGGAAAAAAACACCATCATCACTGACTGTTTTCTTTTCTCGCAAGGTCACAGACATTTTCGAGTTATAAACACCATAACACGGTCAAACTTCTCATTGGAATTACACCCAAAGGCTCAATTTGTTTTGTTTCTAAAGCATGGGGCGGACAGATATCTGATAAATACCTTACCGAGAGGTGTGCGTGACTTACTGAATGAACCTTTAGCTATACCAGCGTTTACAAGAGGCAAAGATCAACTCGATCCAATTGATGTGGAAAAGACAAGGGGGATTGCAAATGTACGAATACACGTTGAGCGTGTCATTGGACTTTTGTGACAAAAGTATACTATTTTGCAAAGCACCCTGCCATTGGACTATCTTACTTCTTCAAGCAAAAGTGCGAACTGTCCCATAATTGACAGAATGATCGGAATTGGTGCAGCTCTTACAATTTTTGCCCTTCTGTAGTTCCCTTTGAGTAATGTATTTTGTCATAAAGCGCCTTATGTATCTAAACAAACCTTTTACATCTGTAAGCCTGAACCATCATCACTACATATAAATAAGGTTTAGTATATGATGTATATGTATTACATGCACTGATGCACATCCTTACAGATTGAAAGCTTTGTTGATTCAAACACTTGTGTTTATTATCCATAAAATATTTAATTATACTGATTATAACTTAAGTTAACAACAACAAGTTGTTTGAAACAAGTCCCCTTTTATTCTTTATACTTTACACTGTGAAATGACATCATTGATTAACCGAATACACGTTAATTGGTATGGAGTCAGTGTATTTTCTCTTTAATGACCGTGGACTTATCTGTCCAGCTACCGTGAATTAGTGGTAGTGATTTTTGAATTATCCCATGCAATTGAATAGTCTGCTATTAATTAATATTAGGCCTACCTTTAAGTTATGTCATAATTTGTATAATTATTGATTATTTTAAAGTAGGAAACATTTCCAATGTACCAATAGTCCGGTCAAATCACTATAAGTACATGGTCCTGATCAAAGTAATCGCAATAGATTTGTTTTCAGTGGTAAAGTGTGTGAAAAGTTGTTCTGATTAACATACTAAAAATAAAAAAATCCCTTCGGTGGAACATGGTGAAAATCGAGTTTTTCTTACTTCGAGTTTTTCTTACCTATAGAAAACCATTGTGGACAGAATGTTGAAATTTTGAAATCATTTTTAGGCAAATGTTATAACCTACATTATTGGAAAGCTTAGAAAAAACTAAAATATAGATCATTAAACGGTTACCTTGGTTTTGCCTATCCAGCCGAAGTTATACAAGATTTAAATTTTTCCAACTTTGAGCTAGAATAACGACAAACTGACCAGTAAATTGAATATAACGGTTTAATTGACATTTATATAGTTTTGTTTAAGCTTTCCAATAATGTAGGTTACATTTGCCTAAAAATGATTTCAAAATTTGAACATTTAGTCCACAATGGTTTTCTATAGGTAGAAGTAAGAAAAACTCGATTTTCACCATGTTCCACCAAAGGGATATTTTTTTATTTTTAGTATGTTAATCAGAACACCTTCCCTCACATTTTACCAGTGAAAAAAATTATATTGCAATTTCTTTGACCTCTGGTCACAGTTTGACCTGACTACAAGTTTTAATGAGTGATACAAATGAGTTCTCATTTTGCTCACATCAAATTGCACCGTTTCAGAATATATACCATAAGCCAGTCATGTTGCAAAGGCAGCCGAAAATACTCCACAGTCACTGCCATTTAGTTGTTGCTAAACATGCAGGAACAACTCTGATGCCAGTAAAATTGTCCTGTCCAACAAGGTTAATTAATAACTTGGTCTTCTATTTCGCTGTCGATGATGCTATGGTAGAGATTGTCATATAACTTGACCGTTTCATGTGCAAAATCTGAATAAATTCTCCATTAAATTGGGTGAAATTTTTTACAGGTCTTAAAATTAGTTTTGCAGCCCATTAACTCCAGGGTTAACATTTTGAAGACATATGTGTACTGCATGAATGATATCACGGTCAAGCCATCCACTGGGGGACAAAACCAAATTGAAATGTTCTTCATTCAGTTTTGCGATTGGTGCTAACTTTTCACTGAAGAATGTGGACAGTTTAGTTATAATAACATCAATATCAGTATCAAAAAGCCGTTAGCTTTGCCTTCTGATTTACAACCTGAACATTACCATGTTGTAAGTGCATTGTTTCGCTTACGTTTTATTTTAGACACTACATTATGACATTTCAGGAGTTTATCTGAACAAAATTGGCTTCTCCTTGCAGACACAGATGCATGGTAACTTAAGAGCTTCTTCCATGAGTTCCTTTGTTTGCTTCGCTTTTGGATTCTTATTCTTGATAGAATTTGTTTTATGGCACAGGGGGTAAAACCACTTTTGGGGTACTTTCGCAACTTTCGAGGAATATGGAGATGGTGCATGATTCATTGCTGTATGCTATCACAGATTCTGTACTTTCTGACGACAAAAGCAGACAGATTTGATACTAGCTGATGACCAAGACAAATTTCTTATCTGTGTATTTCGATGACGTCTGGTAGGACACAATGTCTCCAAACTCATTAAATTTGGGAAGAACTATGTTCCAATGATCAATGTCTGGTAAATTTCTTTCGCAGAAGAAATTAATTTGTTCACTACCGGTAAAGCCACAAACAACAAAGTTACAGAACTTGTAACCCGTAGTGTTGCTGCTGAGTCTGTTAGTAATAGGCATGGTATCAATGTAGGAATGTAACTCCATTTTCTGACTTTAAACAAGAGTTTTTCTTGGAAATATTGTCATTAAACTCTGTATCCTTTAAACAATACGGGCACTTGACTTCTCCACAACTTTCATCACAACAATAACAACTGCACAGAAAGTCTGGTGTAGCATGTAGCCATGGGTACTCTTTATTAATAAATGTACCAAATGTTTTAACCTTGAAATTGATGTGCTTCCTTTTCATAACTTTCTCATATGCTGCGATTGCAACGCTTTCATGTGTACAGCCCTGTTCGGTTTCTGCTGTACTGAACGTAAAATTTTTCGGGTAGCAGATAGTTTTTACCAAAAAATTGCGAAGGCTGTTCCGGGTTGGTGCATGTGGATTGCTTCACCAATTCTACCAGATCGGTAACGATAGAAACTAGAACCTCGTGACTGGGTTCGGATATCTTCCTCAATAAGTTTTATCTCATCTTCGACATTTTAACATGCCTCCAGCAGATTGTGATACTCCATGTGTAAGAACTTCTTGTGAAAGAAATCAGGAATCATTTGTATGTCTCTACTTTTTGAAATAAAAGAATCAGAGAAAGGATGTATCAAACACGAAAGCCACTAGCTTTTCCTTGCGGAGATTCAGTTTTGAATAAAAGTTCTTAATAAGTTCTTTGCATGTTTGCATGGCGATAAAACATATAATAGTTTTGTTTGTCGACACACCACTTAAATAAATTTACGTGGTGTTTTTTATTTATTTATTTTGCAGTAATAAATTTACGTGGTGGTTCCACAAACAAAACTATTATAAAAGTTCTTAAGTTCAGTTACATTTGTTGCTTCTGGACTTGCAACAGTTCCTTTATGGGTGGTAGTCGCTTGATCTGAAGTCGAAGATGTTACATAGCTAGTTGGTAAATTGTTTATAATTTTAGCCAGGTTTATTACAAGTCTTTTTGCTGATGTAAAATCAATATCAAGAGACAGGTGCATAAGGAGCTTCTTTCACTGCTGCAGGTAACAGCCAGCTACATGTGACCTGTGTACATGCTAATTTCTCGTTGGGGTTGGGGGGGGGGGTGACCAGGTTATTATTAACCGCGTTGAAAGTGTCACCATCATTTCGTAATGGAATATTACCATTTGCATCATCATGTTGTTACCCAACCTCGTACCCAGGGCCTGCCCGCCCGATTTTTTAATATGGCCGCCAAAGCGGGCGAGGCCCCGGTAAACGCTGGTCACGTGTCAGGCAAATACTCCAAGATTCTTGCAGTATTAGCCTGCGAGCGGGCTTTATGGAAATAAAGACAGGGGGGGCGACGAAAAGTTCACGAATAGAACTTGAATTACCGCGGATTATTTATATTCTTTTATTTTTTGTTGTAATCTTTCTTTTTAACATGTTACGTTTATAATATATGCATCGAATGTACATCAATCTTCTTTTATTTCGCATCATATAAATCTCCGGGGTGGCGATGTTTCGAATATTTTCGAAGGAAAATGGAGCCAACCTCGTGATGATTTCCATCAAGTAAAAGGTACGGTATGAATTATAAAATGCTTAGAAGTATTTTATTGTTACAAATTATTTAGCAGATTCCCATTATTTGTTACACTGACTAGCTCTATGAAATATATATTTCGAAGGCTAGTTAATATATTTTATACAGTATGCTAATATAGTTAGCTGAATTTGTAGTTTAAATATTGAGAAACACATGGCCAGACTATGGTCTATAATAATACTATACTCAGATTCTCAGTAAAGTTCTGCGAGAAACGTGTTTACACTTACAGTATTATTAAACTACAGTTTACAGTTTACAGTTTACAGTTTACAGTTTACAGCAGTATTAACTTCAAATACTTTGTTTTTTACATTCAATGATCTGAAATTATTTAAATGAGCCATTACTGTAATAACAGAGTGGCCAGGTTGACAAAGCTAAAATCTGATCAACCTAACCTGCTAGGATATTTCAATAGTCAAACATCAGTTTCAGCATTTATTCAGCATTATTTAATGTTAGTGAGTTAATGAGTATTTTTAATATCCATGACAACTACAGCTGGTCAGGGACTTGTTGGGGGAAAAGGTTTAGCACCCCATCATAAAACCTGCCCCCGAATCTCAAAATTTCATTATTTTGTTCCCTTGCCCCTACATTTATACCTTTTGTGCCCTTGAGATCTTTAAAAAAATTGCCTAACTTTGCAGTGTGACGTGTAATCTAGTTTCCATAATTATCTTCTGAAGGCTACAATAAATTTCTACTCTAACACCTGACAGAGATGGCAGATGGGGGCCATATGTATGAACAACAAGAAATGATTTCTTCATCTATTGACCCCTTTCACCAAATTTTAAATTAAATTTACTGAATGATTTTGAATATATACTAGTTTCGTTGCGAAATGTTGTAAAATGCGGATAATATAGCCTTGCGAAGTTTGCCATTTTTCAGTCATTTTGTATTACGCATGGGAAATTGACAGCCCAATCGGGTGTTGGGGCATCAATTTCCCGTTTGTCCTAATACAAAATGACTGAAAATTGCAAATTTCGCAGAGCTATATTATCCGCTTTTTACAACATTTCGCAGCGAAACTTCGGAATATGACTAATTTTACGATGACAATTTATGTCTAGACTTGTCTAGATCAAAATTTTAGTTATGAGGGGAAAGGTTAATTGGCAGAAGCATACATAATTTTATCAGCATACATGCAGAAACAGTCTAATTAAATTACCTGTTATTCGAATCCCGCGCTGCAGTGCATTATGCACTGGCGGCACTGCAGTACACAGACAGACATCATAACACCGCTAATTCTTCGTGTTTTTTTTAACTTGTAAGGCATTTTGAAGCGTAACCCAGATTGACGTTTTAGAGAAAAACAGCACTAGACAAAGCAGCAGTACGGTGTATACGAGATACACCAATGCAATGACGATGTTGACAATATTAGATCAATAGCAAATATTAATTAGTCAAAGAGCATTTAAACCACAACAGCGACGAAGGAAACGTGCTGCTACGATTTGTAGATCATAGTTTTCTTGTAAGGCTCAATACCTTATTCAGTTGCTGGGGAAATGCATGGGAACATATTATCGTAATGAAAACGTATGCTCCCTTCACTCTCTTAATTCGTCCAAAATGTATGAAACAGGAAGCAAGGGTCGACAGGCCAGTATTTATAGCACATAGGTTCAATACATTGCTCGTGACCACAAGGCATTGTAGTTGCGAGCAATGCATTGTGGTCGTGAGAAAGACATTATGGTCAAAGGCGGATGTAACAAGTACTTTCAAACTACCTTCTGTTCGTCGGCGACTGAATGCCAAGAGGAACCCGTTTGCCAGTAAAGACGATGATTGTTCTTTCTGAATGCCATAAGTCCTGGAACAGGAGGTATCTTATTAAATACCGCACTATCTGGAACGACTACAACCTGGAATGTGAAAACATTGTTATTATAATTAGTAAGTATTCAAACGTCATAGCATGATGGTGTTGGTTGTTCATGCACGATTAGCGGCAAACGTTAGATAAATTTAACTCGCTGTTTTCGGATTTCTGCAAGTCGTATTAAACTAATTATAGCTTTCGAATAACCGTGCCCTAATGTACGCACTTATATTGGTTGATTACATATATTGCATCAATAAAAAATCATGGCAACCTTATATCATATAATAAAAGATATTCTCCAGTTTAACTTCGATGACCCCTAGTTGAATGACAAAAAGAACTGCTATAGGTATAGGTATAGGTATAGGTAGGCAATTAATTTGCATGGTACGACTAGAATAACAATCGTAACCAAATGTTTATCACAAAATTCATGAAAAAAGTAAACAAGATATTGCTTTAATTTGTTTGACAATGTGGTGATATCGGAGATCTGCATGCAGGCTGTTCCATATACGGGTAGGAGAATTTTCCACAAAATAGCACTAAGTTTTCAAAATCCTTACTAGTGAAATAGTATGGATCTTCGCTGGAAATAGTAGGTAAATCCAATTTTTCATACTAATTGCAATTTTCGTACTATAGATATAATAAGGAAACCTTGGATAAGAAATAAATAAATCGGCTGTTTTATGTATTATCACTCTTTGTTTGGTTTTCTAAATCATAATTTTCTAGTTTTGAATAATAAGTAAGCTTAAAAGGGAGGCTGATCGCGCCGGGGTGGGGAAGATTTTCAAGATTTTCCAAAAAACTTTTAAAAAACTTTTAAAAAGCAAATAAAAAGTTTAAAAAGTTACATTTTCAAAAAAGTTAAAAAGTTAGATAGGGTTACGGTTTTTGGATGTGTTTAAGAATTTACTCATATAGTAAATTCAAAGGTGGAGCTCATGTTGGAAAAATGATGAGGTGTCCCGAACGGGGGACACCTCTTCTCCGCAGAAACATGCAGCTTCTCCGTAGAAACACGTGCCTTCTCCATGGAATATTTGTTGGTTTTGAACGACGGGGGGGGGGGGTGGTCTCAAAGGCACATTATACTGAAATGGATTTTATAACAATAAAAACAAGTTCACAGTGTAGGCTGATTCGCTTCGCTGAATACATTATCGGCACTTAGTCCTGGGGGGCAAAACCCCCGGTAACCAAGTATATATTAAGTAGGAATATGGAAGCGTGCCCGGCAGTTGCTTCAACGTGTCCCGCCCTCCCATCCCATAAGGTTCTCCAATTTTTGTTTTTCACATTTCTTCGCACTATCACTTGTTTATTGGCGCTAATCACTTTCTTTCGAAAGGAAGCCTGCAGTTAGTTGATACTCAAGTTCTCCGCCCGTATGCCAGCTTGTAGCGCATATTTTGGTACGTGTTATAGTCACAAGACAGGTAAGTGTAGCAGCTTTTAGTGTACTTAGGGTACGATCTTTCCTGTGCTAGACAGGTGATTTGTCCGCGCGATTGGGGATGGAGAAGGTTCCGTTGGTTGGTCAATTATCTACAAATCCTCGCTTGGTTAGGGAGGTCTGAGACGATGCAGACCATCCTTAACCAGTGACTAAACCCAGCCCCATCGATCAGCAGCTGGAAAAATAACATTAGATGAGTAAATAAGACAGCCATAGTTGTTATCAGCGTCAAATGTTAAAGTTTTATAATATACTGATTTACATATTGATATGATTATATTCTAAATTTTGAAATAATTGTGAGAATTGCAAGGCAAAGGTGGAGTAATAATGAAATGAAGTCGCGCATGGTTTTGGGCAAGCGAAACAAGTTGGCGACCAAAATTTTAGCTCTCAATATTTGATTTTAAAACAAGTCTATATAATTAATAATAACTTTTAAACGATCAAATTACAGTTTATTTTGATGCTTAATATGTTTGCCTACTAATGGATATATCAATTCAAACACGTGAACTTTTAGAGAAGTTATTCGATGAAAAGTTAAAGCCAGGATTTACTAATATAAACGATGTGAGAGGAAAATTAGATGAGGTTATTCACTCTATGGACTTTTAAAGTTCACAGTATGATGTTATTCAGCAAAAATTCACCAAATTCGAAGAAGTAATCAAAGAAACCAACCAAGAAAATCAACGTCTAAAAAATGAAGTTTCTAGACTCACAATAAAAGCCCAAGAACAAAGAGACATTGCAAATGACCTGGAACAATATATTAGGCGAGATTGCCCGGAAATTAAAGGAATACCACAACGTGAGGGGGAGAATACTCACTCGTTGGTGAAGCATTTGGCCAATGAGTTGGGTGTAGATGTAAAAGATGAGGACATATCTATCAGCCATCGCTTGCCAACATCATACTCAACACGATAAAATCAGGACCCGATGATCATCGTTAAATTTACGCGCAGAAATATCAGAGATAGATTCTATCAATCTCGTAAGGGACTGAGGGGAAAATCAACACGCGATTTGGGCCTCAGCAAGGTTGCAGAAAATCCAATCTTTATCAGTGAGAGTCTCACTAAACAGAACAAAATATTATTTAACAAAAGCTTAGAAACAAAGAAGACACTTGGATATAAATTCATATGGACAAGAATGGGAAAAATATTTATGAGACAAAATGAGAGAACACGTGCTGTCACCATTTCATCTGAAAAGGATCTTGAAAAGTTATCAACTCCTTCATAAACCTTATTTGTACGGTCTATCAGCTAAGTCACCTTTACTTCATTAATTTATTAATTTATTAAATATAAAAGATTTACTTAATGAATAATGAGTTCTAATACTAACTTCCATTGTCATAAATGCAAACACTCACTAGTTGAGATCAAGAGAAGAGTTCAGTGCGATATTTGCAATCATCATTATCATAAAAAATGCACACCCTTTTCCATTAAAGAGTATAATTATCTGAACAAAATCAAAGGTGGTATTTTGCATTGGACTTGCCCTGAATGTTTATTAGATATATTTCCATTTCAAAACTGTGATAACCAATCAATTTCTGAATTGTTTTTTTCTAATTCTATTTTATCATGCCAGAGTTCAAACATATGTAATATATCTTCTGCTAGGCTAGAAAATTTACCATGTTACAATATAATGACCTCTATAAGTAATAGCCCTCATCTTAACGACCATGACATTGATCTACACTTACCATGTGAAACAAACTTCAGCTATTATACTCCCCATCAATTCCATTCAAGTGAAGAAATTACAAATTTATTTTACAATAAGTCTTTTTCTGCTCTTCATCTTAATATTCGAAGTCTTTCTGCAAATTTTGACCCATTATGTACTCTACTGTCTAACCTAAACCACTCGTTTTCTGTAATTGGTTTATCTGAAACCAAAATTAAGCATGGTGGTGACCCCATTATTAATATTGATCTGCTGGGACATAATTTTATCTCACAACCAACAATGTCAAATGCTGGAGGAGTGGGTTTTTATATAAAAACATCTGTTGCTTTCAATAAGAGAGAAGATCTATGCACCTCTGACAATGAACATGAATCTTTATGGATTGAAATTGAGAGTAATCATCAGCATAATATTATCTGTGGGGTGGTTTATCGACACCCAAATGCAAACATAAACATGACTTTAAAATATATATATTCAATAATTGAAAAAAATTATAATGAGAATAAATACTGTATTATGATGGGTGATTTCAATATCAACCTCCTAAATTATGAGACACAACCCGATACTGATACTTTTATTAATACTTTGGGCTCTTATTATTTCCATCCACAAATTCTGAAACCTACAAGAATTACAGATCATACTGCAACTCTTATTGATAATATATTTTTCAATTCTCTGGAGCATCTAACTCTTAGTGGTAATATATTAAGTGATATTAGTGACCACCTTCCAAATTTTCTCATTATTAACAAGATATCTGAACTACCAAATAATAATTTGAAATTGTTTAAGGTGGCTCCCTACAGTTAGTACAGTTTAAATACGATTTATATAGATCAGACTTCATCCTCGCGACCTGCGCGTGGAACCGTCGTGTTTACTGTTCGGCAAAAATATTGAAACAAGCCGCGGGAAGTTTTTTGGCGTTTTTATCTACAAAGAAAGCTCCAGTTTTTCATTATAATCCTATTTTTTTGTGAATTCGAACAGTACGTATGTTATTAACTAGTTTAGCCAATCTTTTAGTGTGTTTTTACGTATTTACGTTCAGTATTGTCTTTCATATTGCTCAAAATTTTCAACTTGTTGTGTTGCGAACTGTCAAACTGAAACGATACTGTCTTCTATAACTCTTGAACAGTAGTGAACTGTCGCCGAAACTTATGTAAGTTCTGTCAATCAATTCAATTCACAGGTATCGTTTTATCTGCTAAATCAAATAAAACAGTTATGAGTTGTTTTATATGAAAAGTTAAACTTTTAGTTCGATGTTTTGAAAAGTTTTCACACGGATTTTAACAACAAAAACAAATGTAAACTAACACTGGATTTAATACAATGCGTATAATAGTGGTTTTTTATTAGTATTTTCAAGATTAATATTTTATTTTCATGTCAAACAAGTCAGAAATATCTGTTTTCGTATGTATTATAAGCCAAAAAGTTGAAATCACTATAAATCACACGCTACAATTTACACGCATGCGCAGATCGTGCTCATGTCGAGTCGATTTTTTTTCATGCTGGCCACGCCGATTTTAGCGATGATTTTCTCGTGTTTTCTTCGGTGAAATTTTTTTAAACTTTGTATTTTTGTTATACAAGACGAGTGGTACAACATATCCAAATTTTAAGAAATTCTACAAATAACTTTTTCTGTAACCGTCATTCACGAATATCTCGAAAACTTATTTGTAAATTCCCTTCAAATTTTGATATGTTTTTCCTTTATGGGCCATAAATCTTTAAAAACAATTTCAGAAAAATTCACCGAAGGAAAATATAGATATTGTCAATTTATTGTGAAATTAGACAATAAAAGTGCAAAAGATTAAACATCATGGTTGCCATGGCAACACGAACACTGTTTTAATTTGTTCATAAATGGACAGCACACAGCTTCTGAACTTTCCTGGAAATGATCATATTGCCTTGTCTTAAGTGTATCTAATATAAATTCGGTTCAAAGCGAACGTTACTCAATATACCTAGAATTTTAGAGAACTGTAGGGAGCCACCTTAAGAGAAACTACTCCAATTTTAACGATAAATTATTTGAGGCCGATGTTTCTAATATTGATTGGTATAATGTACTTCCAAATGACAACAATGTTAATAATTTATTTTAATCATTTCATTCTGAGATTTTGAAGGTTGTTGACAGACATGCACCTGTAACTAGAATTTCTAGAAATGAGGTTAAAACTATGTCAAAACCGTGGATTACTTCTGGTATTAGAAAATCAATTAAGAGGAAAAATAAACTTTATAAGAAACATTTATCAACAAAAAATGAATATTATAAATCTAAATACAAGTGCTATCGAAATAAATTAAATCACTTGCAACGTATTAGTAAAAAAAATCTACTGTGAGAATTACTTTCCTGCTAATAATAAGAATATCAAGAATACTTGGAAGGGAATTAAACAACTTATTACTTTGAAACCTAGAGGACACAGCTTACCTACAAAAATTATAAAGGATGGCCAGGAGATAAAAGATACTAAGAATATATCCTTGGCATTCAATGAATACTTTTTTAATATTGGAAAGAACATTGCAGATTCTGTTCCATGCACTAATACAAGGACACAAGCTTTTATGGGTAGTCCTGTGCCAAACAGCTTCTTTATGTCTCCTATTCTAAAAAGTGAAATTGAGTTTGAAATTGGAAAACTTAAATCTTCCAAAGCAACAGGCCCTTTTAATATTCCAATTAATTTACTAAAAACAGCTAAATCTAGCCTGTCTACTCCTCTTAAATTAATATTCAATCTTTCCTTCCTGACTGGTACGGTTCCAGACCAATTCAAAATAGCGAACGTGATTCCAATTCACAAAAAAGGCCCACTGACTATGTCAACAAATTATCGCCCAATCTCACTTCTCTCCATTTTTATTAAAATTTTGGAAAAATTAATGTATACAAGATTAACTAGATTTATTGAAAAATATGAAATTTTATATAACAAACGGTTTGGTTTTCTTTCTAAGCATTCAACGTTACAAGCAGCTCTTTCAATAACCGATAACATTCAACAAGCAATTGAGAAGGGATGGTATTCTTGTGGAATATTTTTAGATATTTCCAAAGCATTTGACACTGTAAACCATGACATCCTTCTCAACAAGCTTGATCATTATGGAATAAGAGGTTTGGCTTACGATTGGTCTTCCTCATATTTAAGTAACAGACGCCAATTTGTTTCTACCCTGGAACCAGAGGG